CTATATTACAGGAGATATTCAGTTGTTTCAATCATAAAATGGATTTCTATTTGACAACTAGTGCCAGTACTTTTCCGCGTATCAAAATCATCTGGGTGTTGGGAAAGCAGTAAGAACAGCTAACCAACTCTCATGATCCTCGATAAACACGACGTTTTAATGCGGTCGTAAAGATTGAGTCACGATCTTTCTGGTACCCGGACATTTTGCCGAAAGACACTTTGCCGAAAGACATTTTGCCGAAAGACGTTTTGCCGAACGGACATTTTGGCGACGGACGTTTTGCCGAACGGACGTTTTGCCGAACAGACATTTTGCCGAACGGACATTTTGCAGAACGGACAGTTTGCCGAAAGGACAACTTGCCGAAAATAGAGATGTTATTTCGTCAAAATGTTTGGGACTGTGACTCATTTCTCAACTGTGTAATTCTCAACCATTGTGTAAAATAATCATTATATGGTCATTAGCAGTGCATAATGGTCATTAGCATTGCATAATGTCATTAATAGTGCATAACCATATTGACTATTGGTAGCTTGATGACTCATTTGTTAAGGAACGTGTTTTGACGTCAAGTCGTAAACAAACAAGCGTATATAAAGACAACGACGTAAGCGAATTTTACTTCGAGAATCATGGAATACATTCACTGCAGTTCTGGGGGAAATCGCATTAATGAATGATGTTGAATGATGTTATTCTTTATATCGCGAAATTTCGGTAAACTTGTCAAAAACTTGAAAGAATATAAAACGAAACTATACTTCACTATCAAAGTTTCTGTCATCAAAATCGACAATGACTTTAAATCACAGATATTTTGACCGTATAAGCGAACCTTTAAAGTTCAGAAGATATCTCCATTTTCGGCAAGTTGTCCGTTCGTCAAACTGTCTGTTCGGCAAAATGTCCATTCGGCAAAATGTCCGTTCGGCAAAACGTCCGTTCGGCAAAACGTCCGTCGGCAAAATGTCCGTTCGGCAAAATGTCTTTCGGCAAAATGTCTTTCGGCAAAATGTCCGGCCACCGATCTTTCTTCACAGCCGGAATACAACAGTTTGGAACTGAAAATAGGCGGAGTGACTATTAATAGAGAATGCTTATGATTTGTATGTGGTTTACAGGTATAAATTATAATAATCTGGCCGTTGAGAAAGATCGTGACTCCGTTTTTACAACCATATGGAAAACCCGCTTTACATTCACTCGAGAATATAATGCTTGCGTTCTAGATGAATAAAGTCAAGAATGCTTTTTTCTCTCCATTTTAGATTGCAAAGCTTTGTGGCCTTCCAATGGGTCAACACAGATCGAGGCCGCTATACGATACCGTCATCCCGGAAGAACAGTCCCCGACCGGGCACACGGTTGTCAATGGCAACTTTATCGAGGAGTTTACGTTTGAGTCCGAAAAACAAGCCAAAAAGGCATCAAGTTCCGGTCGGAATAAGGAACATGTCCCATTGTTGGACTTGAACTTTTCGTCGAAGCGAGGCTCCGAAAGTTCCTCGAGTTCGTTAATGTCCGACGACAGTCTACGCGACGACACTTTCCGACACATGTTAGAACCGCTGTACGAGAAGGCTGTGGGCTATTACCGTGAGAAAGCCGAGCAAGGTGACGCGTTCGGTGCCTATTATATTGGGCTGGCTTTCGAGAATGGTTTTGGGTCCTGTTCAAAAGATCGTAAAGAGGCTGTCAAATGGTATCGGAAATCCTCGGAATATGGTTTTGTGTTAGCCGAACACGCTGTTCAGCGGTTGTCCCCCGGAGATGGTGACTCGGAGACGAAATTCGTAGGGGTCGAATCCCGTGCCAGCCTTTTACTCCGGGCCGCATTGCAGGGGCATAAACAAGGGGTGGTCCGTCTTCGATTGTTGTGTAATCAAGAAAAAGCAGCGTTGGGGTTTTTGAAAACGAAACGAACACAAATCGAGCGCAAGCTCGCGACGGAGACTGAGGAGAGTGCTATCGCAGAGTTGCTGAGTAACCTCGCCTTTCTGACGCTTTTTCTAGAACCAAGCAAGGAAAACTACGATGACATCATTGAGCTATTCACACGTGCCGCTGACCAGGGGAACGACGACGCGTCGTATTCGGTTGGAAAACTTTATATGAATGGCGTAGGCAAGATGTTAGTGCCAAATGAACAGCTTGCCATCAAGTACCTGACCGTAGCCGCTGACCACGGCCATCTGATGGCTCAGATTGAACTTGGAAAACGATTCCTAATGAAATCTTCGGGCCTGGTTGGAAATGAGAAATTTGAAGCGAAAGCGTATCGCTACTTTAAAGAAGCCGCTGACCAGGGTAGCGCTGAAGGCTGGCTCAATATCGCTCACCAGTACTTGTACGGAGAAGTTATAGAAACCGATCTCAATAAGGCTATCGAGTGTCTGGAGCGTGCCGCTGTCACCGTAGATTACACTGATAACGGGCGCAGCAATAGTCGCGCGTTGTGCATCTTGGGGAGAATTTACCGATACGGTATGGGTGACGTTTCAACGGATCTTGGCAAAGCGATTGGATATTTCACCGAATCGGCCAACCGAAAGTTCCCGAATGCTTGTTTAGAGCTTGGCAAGCTTTATGTCCGCGGCAAGGGCGTGGTCAAAGACGTGCCACGTGCTAGGGCACTCCTTGAGAGCGTCCACGTGTTCTCTGAAAGCCAGTACCAATTAGGGAAATTATACGAAGAACTGGGAGACCCGAAGACCGCTGATCAGTATTACAGACAGGCGATGAAAGGATACTCGCGTGATGTGGCGAAACATCACGATTACACGATCGGACTTTATCGTATCGCGAAGATGCACGAGAACGGCCGGGGAATTCCGAAGGATTTGGTCAAAGCGAAAGCGTTCTATTATCGTGCTTCCACTTCGGCGGAAAAGACTTACATATTATGGTGGAAGAGTTATGGAGAGAAGGCACTCAACAGGCTGACCAGTTTCACGCAGGCTAAAAGTAAGGACGTGGCCGCGATTGCCTGAGTTGTCTAAGGCAAAACTAGGGTAATGTCTAAAAGGAATGGACGAGAGGTAGTTTACGAGATGGTTCCAAAATTGAAATAAGAGTTTGCGTTAGTATTAGGGTTAGTGTGGGGGTTAGGATTAGATGTGGGGTGAAGGTAAGGTTTAGTATTGTTGCAAGTGGCTGGTTGTTGATTCTTTTACGTTTTAATGATCTTAAAAACTGGCGGCCATCTTGAAAATCTGCCTCTAGTCCATCCCCTTTAGCCACGATCGCAAAACTAGACAACGTTTTTGTGGAAACAAGACAATGTTTCCTAGCCACCCTCGACATTTATTGTAAAGTATATTTATTAGTCATAACTTGGGTAGAAATGTTATCCCGTATTTCTAGTACGATGTCCAGACTACGAGCATCCTTCTTGTTCTTTTTACATTGAAGAGAACCGTTAATTATATCACCTGGAATAGAAAAAATGAAGATATTAGCATATTATACTTTAACTTGTAATGCTGTTTCCTGCGTATCTGTTAAAATAGAAGAAAATCTCAAACGTCTGCAGTATATCCCACCGTCGTCATGCCCATTTTCACTGCCGCCTGATGATTCTAGGGTGGTATTTTGACGGGGTTTGCAGCATAGAATAAAGATCCATATAGAAGGGCCACTTACGTCGGAAGCTTTGAGAAGTTTCTGTCCTCGCGCATGTCACATTACGCATGTTTGCCGCCATTTTCCTAGCCAGTTAGTCAATGTCATTTTCTGGCCAATAAACACGCTGTACTGGCTGGCTGCTCCGCCTTCTGGCCAGTAAACTGCATATTTTTGCATAGTTGCACCGCTGAGTGGCCCTTCTGTTACTGATCTTTATTCTGTGGTTTGCAGGCTCCATGTAAACCTGACAGCCCACGGAACATCCCACGGAACTGGCCTACTCTACAGACGTAAAAACACGCAAGTTGTTACAGGTCTGCAAACAAGTTGTAACAAGATTGTTGTCAAGCCGATATCAGCATGTGTCCGCACCGCTTCTTCGCAGTTGTTGTGACAAGTCTGGAACAAGTTGTTATCACCTTGTTACAAGGTTGATGACGGTCACAGACTTGCTACAAGTTGTTCCAACAAGACTAATACAGGTTGTTCGTAACAACAGTGGCGTTAACTACTATGGGTTCAGACCGGGCGAACCCGAGGGCCCCCAACCCCAATGGGCCGAATGGGGGCCCTCAGGCTGTAGAGCAAAAACATTGGCTAGGGAGGCCTCTGATATGTTACAATGTCGTTTTCTGACCTTCACAATTCTGTAAAATCTCTCCTGGCCAACTGAGTCCAGGAAATGGCATTTCAGAGACTCTAGATTCAAAAATATTCGCGTGAGCATGCCCTGGACCCCCTAGAAAACTCGTGCATATACGGCGCTCAACTCGTGCCTTTGGCACTTCTAGTAGGGGGGCCTTCGAAAATTTTGAACCGGGGGCCCCCTGATATAACGTTACGCCACTGCGTAAGAAGTTGCTACGAGTTTGTTGTCATCAACTTGTTACGTGCAGACGATGTCAAACTTGTTGGAACAAGTTTGTTGCCAGCAGTCTGTTGGCCTCATCACCCTTGTTACAAGATGATGACAACTTGTTCCAGACTTGTCAACAACTGGGAACAAGTAGTGCGAACACGTCTTGTTGACAAGCCGTGAGATTTTTACGCATGTGCAGCCGCTTGAGCGAAACTGCGAATTACTTTCTTTTACCTTTTTGTAAGGACAAAGGACTCTCTAAGTAAAACAAAGTTTGTTTCCAATGAGTTGACGTACTTGCAGGATGTGTACTAAATGATATCTACAACGACAAAAGAATACTTCAAGATCACTCGAAACAAACCTTGAAAGTTGGGTATCAGGGTTCGGTTTTACGAAGGCCGATAGCGCTATCCACCAGATAGTGATTTTTTTCAACCTTTGTAAAAATACTTGAAAAACTGTTAAACTACGGATATAGAGGACACAAGAGCAGTCAAGAAGTATAAAAACATTTAACTTAGGGACTGGTCATAATTTACCAGGAGGGGTGGAGAGGTGGAAACAGTGGGGGGTAACATATTTTCTAGCCAGGAAAAAGGGGGGGGTGGTTCATAAAATATTAGACAGTTTATGAAGGCGGGGGGGGGGGGGGGGGTTTTAGTTCAATTAATTGTTTTATACATGCCTTCTCACATTTTGTTCGAGTTGTATTGAATAAAATTGATTCTTTAAACTTAAAATGAAAAGTTATGTAAATCACTGTGTTCAATTAAATTTAATGACATTCAATGTTCTTCAAGAGATCGTGAGTCAACGTCAGAGGACGATCAAGAAGCTAGGCTTGATAAAGCTAGGCTTTATATATGACTATGTGTTGGTATAATGTAAATTTTAGTATTTAATGTAAAGCACAATTAGAAAATTTATTGAATGTGGAGTTTAGTAGTAGGTAGGTACATTTTTACTGACACGAGCAAGAGAGAGAGGGGTTATTTTTCCGGGTTATGGCAAAGCAGGGTGACAAAATATTATTCCCTAAAATTTTGAATTACACCTCCCCCCCCCTGCTAAATTATGACCAGTCCCTTATAAATACTAAACTTTAATACGAGTTATACCAATCAACGACTGATTTAACAAAGCTTGAAAAAATCACTATGCGGTGGATAGCGCTATCGGCCTTCGTACAACCGGCCCCAGGGTTTTGAGCTTCCCACTCGATACAGCTAAAATGTTGAAGGACCTCTATAGCAGTGTTGTAACGAGTCACCAACATAGCTCTATAATGGCTACATACCTTCTCTGTGCAACTCTCTTCAAAGATTATGTCAAAGTAACCAACAATTATCTATCAAATTTTAAAATTCAATTCTAAATCAGAAATTCACACACTGACCAGGTGCTGAAAGTGATGATGCAAATTGAGTGTGTCTGTATAGAATAAACTCCACTTACATTAAGTGAGCCACCTCGCAAGGCTTGCAGTTGAAAATCACTTTTAAAATCCAACTCTTCTGTTTTGACTTTGTTTACATTGATTTCCTGAATAGATCATATTCGATTGATTACTTATACTGTAGATACTGTGGGCTTTGAACTCAAGGAGTGCAGACGCAAAAACGCACAAGTTGTTATAGGTCTGCAAACAAGTTGTTGCAAATCTGTTCACAAGCTGTCGACAAGTTGTGTTCGCACTGCTTGTTCATAGGTATTGTAACAAGTTTGGAACAAGCTGTTAACAACTTGTAACAAGCTTGATGGCATCAGGCTTGTTAAAAGGTTGTTCTAACAAGTCTGATACAGTCATGATATAACAAGAATGTTACAAGGTTGACGACACAAGGTTGTAACAGTATTGTTATATCGTGACTGTATCGGACTTCTTGAAACAACCTTGTAACAAGTCTGATAATATCAACAAGGTTGTTACAACTTTAAAGTTCCATACTTGTTGTCAACTTGGAACAAGCAGCGCGCGAAGTTGTTGACGGCTTGTTGGCAGACGTGTGACGTTCTACATTCAAGTCTAACATGTACTAACTTTTATAACACAGTTGCTGGTCAGTGTAGTTTCTGGGTTAACTATGTCTACCACAGGTTCCGACAACACTAAGTTCTTCATACAAGACATCTTTACTCCTAAAAATGCATAGCATATGAAATGGTTACAGCAGAGTTTCTTAATGGCAACTGGGACGATCTGAGCTAGCGTCGCTAGTCACAATAACACCAGAAAGCTGCGGACTACACACGCAAAAATCTCGCAACTTGTCAACAAACTTGTTAACAAGTTGTGATAATGCTGTTCCAACATTCTGTCAACAAGATATGTTCTCAACAGGCTTGTAGCAAGCTTGTTAACAAGTTGTGACAATGCTGTTCAAATAACTTGTCAACAAGATATGTTCTCAACAGGCTTGTAGCAAGCTTGTTAACAAGTTGTGACAATGCTGTTCCAACATTCTGTCAACAAGATATGCTCGCAACAGGCTTGTAGCAAGCTTGTTAACAAGTTGTGACAATGCTGTTCAAATAACTTGTCAACAAGATATGTTCTCAACAGGCTTGTAGCAAGCTTGTTGACAAGTTGTGACAATGCTGTTCCAACATTCTGTCAACAAGATATGTTCTCAACAGGCTTGTAGCAAGCTTGTTAACAAGTTGTGACAATGCTGTTCCAACATTCTGTCAACAAGATATGCTCGCAACAGGCTTGTAGCAAGCTTGTTAACAAGTTGTGACAATGCTGTTCAAATAACTTGTCAACAAGATATGTTCTCAACAGGCTTGTAGCAAGCTTGTTAACAAGTTGTGACAATGCTGTTCCAACATTCTGTCAACAAGATATGTTCGCAACACGCTTGTGGCAAGCTTGTTAACAAGTTGTGACAATGCTGTTCCAACATTCTGTCAACAAGATATGTTCGCAACAGGCTTGTAGCAAGCTTGTTAACAAGTTGTGATAATGCTGTTCCAACATTCTGACAACAAGATATGTTCGCAACAGGCTTGTGGCAAGCTTGTTAGCAAGTTGTGACAATGCTGTTCAAATAACTTGTCAACAAGATATGTTCTCAACAGGCTTGTAGCAAGCTTGTTAACAAGTTGGGACAATGCTGTTCCAACATTCTGTGTTCGCAACAGGCTTGTAGCAAGCTGTTGCAGGCTTGTAGCAAATTGTAACAATGCTGTTGTTTTATTAAGTCGCTACAAGGTTGTCACTCACAACTTCTTGATAAGTTGTCGAATTGCAGGACGATACCAAATTGTTGGAACAACTTGTATAACAAATCTGTCAAGCTCAACAACCTTGTAGCAAGTTGTTAACAAGCTGGGAACAAGCAGTGCGAACACATCCTGTTGACAAGTTGTTGGAACAGCATTGCTACAAGTCTGCTGCAGGTTTGTTACAACCTGTGCGTTTTTACGTGTGTACACATGTAAAAATCTCACAACTTGTCAACAAGATGTGTTTGCAACAGGCTTGTAGCAAGCTTATTTATCAAGTTGCTACAAGGTTGTCACTCACAACTTGTTGACAAATTGTTGAATTGTCGATAACAAGTTGTTGGAACAACGTGTAACAAGTCTGTTGAGCTCAACAACCTTGCAGCAAGTTGTCAACAAGCCATTGACAACCTGTCAACAAGCAGTGCGAACACATCCTGTTGACAAGTTGTTGGAACAGCATTGCTACAAGTCTGCTGCAGGTTTGTTGCAACTTGTGTGTTTTTACGTGTGTAGTGGATGGATGGTCAGAGACATTATGAAATGAAGAGATCAATAAATGTGATACGGTAGGCATCGCAGAGACGAGAGGAGCGAGGAAAATCGGTAACATATCAATATACCGTAAACATCCTCCCAAAAAGTAATTTTCTCTTCCATTCTCTTCTTGTCCTCCACACCAACCACACTAATTGTACATCTGTCAGGATAAACTGAAAACAAATATACATCTTATAACGTTCACAGAATATCATTGTTGCTGTAGTAAATTGGAAAGATAAACACAACGGCTGTGGCTAAATAATCAAGGCGTTTTACCTTTACCATCGAGAGCTAGCCATTTGTCTCTGGCAAATAGAACTGTGTCCAGCATTGATTCAAACAGCAGAAAATATCCCTACAACGATAAAACATTAACCATGAAAGCTTTCAATACATATAATGAACAAGCTTTCGTTGGTATAACCTACTGAAAATATATAAGGAGTAACTCCAGACGAAGGGCCTTCGATCGAAACGTCGAAATTCTTCTTATATATTTTCAGGTAGTGGCACCAACGAAAACTTCTTCATTTTATTGGCATTACCTGCACTGGCAAAGACAGTTCAAGATTATTTCAATACATATATTGTTTCAACGCAACCACTAGGTTTTCAAAAGTGGACGAATTGACGTGGTTGTAATCTTTTCCTTGCAATATAAACACAACACAAAACCAGCTCTTGTGCTGTCGTGGCCACCACGCTTGCCTTCCAAGCTGGGAGAGCCGGGTTCAATTCTTGATCGGACCTCTACTCAAGGTCTTAAAATAATTCAGGAGAAAGAACTACCTTTACATTGACATTAGTAAATGGTTAGACTTTCGCGTTTTCTCGGAGAAGGAGCAGTAGCCTGTTGGGAAATCCGCTCACCAATGAATGAGACACCAAACTCAATATATACTTACCATCCACTCTGATATTATGATGTCTACCTAGATAAGGAAGATAGTCCCAGTTATAAGAATGAAAACTAAATGTATTTCCGTCCGAAATACCAGGAAGTTGACAAAACCTTAGCTGTACATTTAGTGAAGTGCTACCTGTTTAAAATCCAGATCTATCTCTTCGACCTTTCCTCTCTTTAGTGTGACAATATGGTCAAGTTTGTTTTCTCTAGAGTATCCAAAATATGACGATGAGGAAAGCAAGGTTAAGATGGTTTTCGGCGCACTTGATAGCCACGGTTTGTGGCTATAAAGTACGCCTGTTTTCGGCATACCTTATAGCCACGGTTTGCGGCTATAAAGTACGCCTGTTTTTGGCATACCTTAATTATAGCCATGGTTTGTGGCTATAAAGTACGCCTGTTTTCGGCATACCTTATAACCACGGTTTGTGGCTATAAAGTACGCCTGTTTTTGGCATACCTTAATTATAGCCATGGTTTGTGGCTACAAAGTACGCCTATTTTCGACATGCCTTATAGCCACGGTTTGTGGCTATAAAGCATGCCTGCATGTTTCGGCACTCGTTATAGCCATGGTTTGTGGCTATGAAGTACGCCTATTTTCGGCACTCGTTATAGCCATGGTTTGTGGCTATAAAGTACGCCTGTTTTCGGCACTCCTTATAACCATGGTTTGTGGCTACGGTTTGTGGCTATAAAGCATGCCTGCATGTTTCGGCACTCCTTATAGCCATGGTTTGTGGCTATGAAGTACGCCTATTTCCGACACTCCTTATAGCCATGGTTTGTGGCTATAAAGTACGCCTGTTTTTGGCATACCTTAATTATAGCCATGGTTTGTGGCTATAAAGTACGCCTGTTTTTGGCATACCTTATAGCCATGGTTTGTGGCTATAATGTATGCCTGTTTTTGGCATACCTTAATATAGCCACGGTTTGTGGCTATAATGTATGCCTGTTTTTGGCATACCTTAATATAGCCATGGTTTGTGGCTATAATGTATGCCTGTTTTGGGCATACCTTAATATAGCCACGGTTTGTGGCTATAATGTATGCCTGTTTTTGGCATACCTTAATATAGCCATGGTTTGTGGCTATAATGTATGCCTGTTTTCGGCAAATATTCGATTGATATTCTAAGATCCAAACCTACCTAACAATATCCATGGCGTGATAAACTATTGAAGATTTATCAATACCGATGACTTTCTGAGCCCCAGCTTGCGCGGCAAATATTGATAATATCCCTGAACCACAGCCAATATCTAACACCACTTTGCCTTCGAATATATGTCTGTTTTTATGCATGAAATTTTTATAACTCATCGTTCGAACTTTGTCCTGAAATTAAAAACAAAAATCTATAGTTCACACCTCCATTTATTTCCGTTCACACATTCATGTATTATGTGGTAAACATTTAAAACGATAGCAACCTTCAACATTTCTTCATGAATAGAGTAATGTGAATAACTACTAAAGTACGAATCTTCGTCATCATCAACTGTTATTTCGTCGCTGGAAATTCCTTGGAGATTCCTACCAATGAAAATTAAAGATGCAACTAGGAAAAGAGAAACTTATATATGCGCTGGAGAATTCATAAAGACGTCAGATTTATACCCTTTCTTTTCCTGGTCAGCTCCGAGGACAAGTGCGTGAACTCCAGCCCTAAATATACATTATAATTTCGATTACAATTGTAAGTTCCACACTGGCTAGGTCGTTATTTTCTGAGTTAACAGTGAGACTATATACACACACGTAAAAAAGCACAAGTTGTTACAAGTCTGCAAACAAGTTGTTACAAATCTGTTCACAAGCTGTCGACAAGTTGTGTTCGCACTGCTTGTTCCCAGTTGTAGTACAAGTTTGGAACAAGTTAATGTTAACAACTTGTAACGAGCGTGATGGCATGATCAGACTTGTTACAAGGTTGTTCTAACAAGTCTGATACAGCCATGACATAACAAGGATGTTACAAGTTTGATGACACAAGGTTGTAATAAATATTGTTATATCATGACCGTATCAGATAATCAGATTTGTTGGAACAACCTTGCATGCAGCAAGTCTGATAATATCAACCAGGTTGTAACAATATTGTTATATCGTGACTGTATCTGACTTGTTGGAACAACCTTGTAACAAGTCTGATAATATCAACAAGGTTATTATTACAACTGTTAGCAAGTTGTTCCATACTAGCTTGTTGACAATTTGGGACACAACTGAACAGTGCGAACACTGACAACTTGTTGGCGGACTAATGCTGCAAGATGTGAAATTTTTGCGTGTGTAGATCGATGGTTAAAAGACGAGGGATCACCTCATTGTTTCAAGGTCTGCTAAAGCTTGTTGCAATGCTGATTCCGCTTGTCTTGCTCTCTCCATTGCTCTGTGTAACCTAAACGTTCATATTAACATACATCACGTTTCCAAACATTTCATAGACATAAGGAACAGTTCAATATTGTGTCCTCTTGCCCTACTTAAATATTAAGTTTCAACACGGAACTTCTATTTGTTTCCTACTTGCTACTTTGTTTCATGAAGTTATCAGCTGATAATGAAAAAAGGAAACTGCAGACTTCAAATTGACAATTCCCATTATAGACTAATTTTAAAACTAGGCAAGGAGATGCAAATAAATCACCCCAGCTAGAAAGAACATACTAAAATGAGTAAAATTGCAAAGTTTGGTTGCGAAATGTTGTAAAATGCGGAAAATATAGCCTTGCAAAGTTCGCAAATTTTGTATTGCGTGCGGAAATTGCTACCATTTTCGGCCCATTAATCCATTATACAAAATTTGCAAACTTTGCAAGGCTATATTTTCCCCTTTTACAACATTTCGCAACCAAACTTTGCAATTTTACTAATTTTAGTATGTTCTTTCAAACCGAGTTTTAAAATTAGTCTATAACCGGGAATTGTCTATTCTCAGTAACAACAATCTTCATTCTAACCTCCCATTCATTTCATCAGAATTATGATTTGTGCTACCTTTAAAACGACGAAATTTAAACTGTTATTATATCCTTTCATTTATTTTAAATCTAGAGATAAATTACAAATTCATCAAATACCATTTTGCAGGCTTTTCTCAACTGTAGTGTTTTGGTCGTCCTCAGAATCTGAATCTTCAATATCTAATTTAATATGTATAAATCAGTCACTTCATTTCATCTTTTCCCATTCCTCTGTAATTTTCGCGGCTAACGTGGGGATTATGTAAGAGTTGGATCCATGGGCAGAAAAATAAAAACATTTTTCAATGCTAAACTTTTGAGGGCTTAAAAATATTTCTCTTTACACATTTCTTGCTTTTTATTTGATTTCTTACATTTACAATTTGCCCAATTTCTATTTTTCTGGGACTCCCCTTGTATGCTTATGGTTGGATCACTCTATCAGTTAAGGCCATGTTACACAAGGCAATTTTTGCGGCAACTTACAATGCAATGTCTGCACTAACAACAATATTTAATATTGGGTATGATATTTTACCATATTGCAGTAATGGGTCATTCTCCATCACTGGCTGAAGATATCTGTCATCTTGCCATGGAAATGAATGTGTATATTCAAACAGCATCTTACAGTCTGGTTTCTAATCAATATACAATAGAAGAATCTTCTGTTTACAACATTTCCTCAAATTTTACCAAATGGGGTGTTGAATGAAGATTCAACCCAGAGCACTGATGCTCAGACTGGGTTAATAAGTAAAATTGTCTGCGGTTAAAATAATAAATTATGGCACAATGCAACTTAATGGCTGAGTTATCTTTCAACAATGAACTTCAATAATGTCATAAAAAATTTTCAATTAAATTCATTCTTTTTTTTTACCTCAGCCCTTATAAAATTGATCATCCTAATGTAACCATAAAAATCCAATCCTATAGTAAAAAAATTATAAATGAAAGAAGAAAAAATTCGTTTTCATTTTCAAAAGTATATTATGGACAAATTTATGGTTATTTTTTACAGAAACATAACAAGCAAACACTGTCTGTTAATTTGGACTTACTAAATTTTTGCTTGACATGGGTGATATCAAATTGATGTGTCACTTTGCAATGTTCCCACAATGCACATGTGGTTTGGAAGGAACTATCGCAAAACAGACACATGACGTCTTGGCCATCACCCATTGGCTCTTCCCAATTATCGTCATCATCATCGCTATCCATTTGACAATCTTTAAAAACAGAGGAAGAGCACTGTACTTATTTTTGCCATTATAAACCTTGGCAGGTATAGGAGAGTTTCCAACCCTCCCCACACCACCCCTCCCCAGCATTTCCCCCACAACACAACCGTTACTGCCATCAGACATGCGCAGTAAGATCGATAATTACCCTTATAATAAATTAACCACATTTTCTTTCAATTTCTAACAAAGATTTACAAAATGTATTTATATCGTCTATACCCATTTCATACGACAATTTCAAGCAATAATCTTTGCAATAAAACCTATAATTCTTGCCTTTTACCTTTGACTAAATCTCCCCCATATTCCGCCATCTTGTATTGTAAATGTTACAAATTGAATTTGTTACAAACATTACAAATTCTGCGGGTTTACGCGGGAAATTGCGTTAACTGGTTCCCAGTCTTTTTTTTTAATTTTACTATTTTAGGTAATTTAGAAAGCTATACAAACATATTTACATTGTTACTGTGTAATAAAGTATTAATAAAGTTTAATACAGTAACATTTTTCAAATATTTTTTTTGTTTTTCTGAGAAATTTCTCTTCGGAAATTATCGGGAACAAGTCGACAACAGTCGCCATTGTTTATTGTCACCGTTCTTGTTATTAAAAAACAAAACAAGATGGCGGCAGAATTGAAAGAAATGGTTCGTAAACAATTGCTGGAAAACATCAATCAAGGTAAGATATTGTAGCGAAGATATAGTTTTAAGAAAGGAAATATGTCTAGCTTTGGTTTGTTTTAAATATTTGTAGGAAATGTTGAAGAAGTTCGCCGTATTTTGGATGTTGGCCAAATAAAGGTTGACAGTTTAGATGAGGTAATATACTACTACGAAAATATTTATTATTCATACTTTGCTATTGTAAATTAATCGTTTTTGTATTATTTTTTATCTTTCTGTGCACATAATTTCCTAGTCATTGATAGCGATATTATCTCTAGTAAATATGATGGCATGCCTATAGAAAAATCTATATACATGAATCCTAGTTAGTGGTGCAACAATATACAGCATGTGAATGATTCCAAACCTCACAAGCAGAAAATTCTGCCTGCTGCGGCTGGGTTTCAAATCCATGAAAAAAGGTATATATATATATATTAAAGGTATGTATATATATATTTCACCACAGAATGGCATGACACCATTAATGCAAGCTGCATACAAAGGAAAACATGAGATTTGTGAGTTACTGATCGAGAGAGGAGCTGACGTCAACTGTAATAAACACGAACATAAGGTAATGACCAAATAAACCACCTTAATAGCATCTACACGATTACAACACTTACAATCATAGACAAAACTCATGCGGACAACTTGGTCTAAATTGAGTTTGTCACCTTAGCTGCGAGGTACTTTTTATTAAAAGATGTAAATAACTCTTAAACCCCGTTCCCCCAGCACAATGTTGTTTACTTTATTATGTATGTATCACAGAAGACATTCTCATCTCATCAACATTGTTCTAAGGGGTGGGGGGATGAGTATTTGCAATTATATTCAGACATTTGAATTTAAGGCGCCTTTTCCATGTGCTTGTCCGAGTGGTTTTGTCTAGGATTGTAGGTTTATTAACCCTTTAAGAGCATGGCAAAGCACCCTGATGCCCCCTTTACTCTGTCTAATGCCATATGACTTTACTTGTCCAAGGGGAGAGTGCTCAGCCACTCTATGCGGGTAATATCTGATTATCTGATCATGCACCATGTTAACCCTTTAAGTGGAAAAGCCAGAGATGGATTTACTGGGGGGTGCAGGGCAGGGGGGGGGATGCACCCCTAGCCCTGGCCAGAGGGGGTGCAGGGGGTGCTAATTTTCATGATAGAGGCAAAATGAGATACAGTAATTCGAGTAGTAACATGATGATAAGCAAACTGTAAACAACAATTACAATTCAAATACAGTAGTCAAGCAACACTTTGCAGTAGTGAAGCAAGTTGATAGGCGGGTGGCACACATGACCGACACAACTCTGCACCAGAGCTGGCAGAGCACCCCCCCCCCCCCCCC